CCTTCCTTCCTTCCCATATCTTTCTTCCAATTCTTCCTTCCTTCCTTTCCTTCCTTCCCTTCCCATATATTTTTTCCACTTTCCTTCCTTCCTTCCTTCCTTCCTTCTTTCCTCCCCTCCTCCCTCCCCTCTGCTCCTTCATTCTTTTTCTTCCCTCCCTCCAATCCTTCTATCCTTTCTCCCTCCCTCCCTCCCTCCCCATTCTTTCCTTCCCCCCACTCCTTTATTCCTTCTTCCCTCCCTTTCCTTCTTTCCTTCCTTCCCTCCACCCTTCTCTATTCCGCCAAAAGCTCCAACTGAAAGAGGGAAAGGGGGGGGTCCCAGCTGGGAGCTGGGCTGGGGGGCTGGGGGTGGGGGGCTGGGGGGAAGGCCCTGCCTGGGTCTCCTCACCCGGTCCCGGAGCAAGGAAACGCAGAAGTCCACCTCCTTTTGGCGGAGGGCCTGCAGGGAGGGCGAGCCGTGGTGGTCGACGATGAGGCGGAGGTAGGTGTACACCGACATGGCGATCAGCAGCGCGCTCTTCAGCACCCACTCCCTGGGGAGAAGGACCACGAGGGGGTTGCCCTGATGCCCTCACAGGGTCCCAGGCGCCCTCGCCGGAGAAGGCGGGGATGTCATCCGTAGTAATGCCCTCCCTCCCTCCCTTTTTCCTGGCCCTTCCCTCCTTCCCTTCTATCCATTCATATCTATCAATCTTTATTTCTTTCCTTCCTTCCTTCCTTCCATCCATCCATCTAAATCTGTATCCATTATATATTATATATATCTGCCTTTCTCTTATCAATCTCTATCAATTTATCTCTATCTACCTATCCATCCATATCTATCTATCTTTTTCTATCTATCTATCTATCTATCTATCTATCTATCTATCTATCTATCTTTTTCTATCTATCTATCTATCTATCTATCTATCTATCTATCTATCTCTTTCTCTCTGTCTATCTCTAGGCCTCCTAATCTATCTTTATCTGTTAATATCTATCTATCCATCTACCCATCCTATTCTTTTCCTTACTTACATACTTCCCCTACTTTCTTCCTTCCTTTCCCAGTACCCCCCTCCCTCCCTCCCTTTCATCCATCCATCCATCCCTCTATCTTCATCCATCATGTTTTCCTTACTTACATAGTTCCCCCCTTCCTTTCTTCCTTTCCCTGTCTCTTCGTTCCTTTTCCTTTCCTTTCCTTTCCTTTCCTTTCCTTTCCTTTCCTTTCCTTTCCTTTCCTTTCCTTTCTTTCCTTTCCTTTCCTTTCCTTTCCTTTCCTTTCCTTCCTTCCTTCCTTCCTTCCTTCCTTCCTTCCTTCCTTCCTTCCACCACTTTTACCAAAGCAGTCTTCACTTTGCTTTTCCTAAGATGGAATTTCCAGGGTCTGTTTTACGTCCCACACTGAAATTAGCCGGATGGAAACAGCCATCCTCCTGATAAAAATTTTATATTTTTATTTTGGGGGGGGGGGGGGGGGGGGGG